GAGAGAGATAGAGATAGAGATAGAGATAGAGATAGAGATAGAGATAGATAGATAGATAGATAGATAGAAGTGTATTTTGGATGTTTTCTATCCACTTGTCTGAAACTACATGTTTTTGAAAAGCCAAAAATCTCAAAATTTACCAATGCATAAAAGAATTATACATTTTTTTCTTTCGTATACAGTACTGTATTTGTCTTATTGTTTGTAATGTAAATCTTTGTTTATATTTTAACAAAAAAAATTGTTATAAATATTTTAATAGCAAAGATAAATAATGAAGTAAAATGAAATAAAATTAACCTGAAATAAGATTTTGTTCATATCTTCCACCCCTACATTAGCCTAAATGGTCTGTTATTCATTTTCTTTCATGTTTTGTTATCTTATAAGGCTATATTTATAAACAGGGAAGTTAGTTTGGTTGTACTGCTCAGTAACTTGCTAAATAGTTTTAAAAACCAACACGAAAAAGAATCGTGATAAGATTGTGGATTGTGTTCCAGCCTGAAAAAACTCAATATGCTATGATATTTTTCCCATAGCCCATGCCTAATTTGAAGCCACTTCGAGCAATCAATCAATCCATGCATGCATGAAAAGATAACGAACAAGAGGTGTTATCGCAGCGCTGTGGGCTTTGCTTTCAGCTCTTTACCTGTCATATCTTTCTCCCTCATCTGTTTTGCGGGCGGCTCATCCGTGTCCCAGGGCGTGGACTGGTTAATGGGTGTTTGTCCCCACCGGACGCTATTAGCCAGGACCTGGCCCTGAGTCTGCGTGTCTGCCGATGGGTGCCCAGAGACCTGTTTCAACGAGAGGAACATCTCAAGTAAACAGACCAGCCTTTAATTACCGTCTACGTTTCCAATTACAGCCCATTTGCCAGACACTGGTACATCATTTCGCTTTGTTAATATTCCATTCCATTCACTCTTTTAATTACGCCACTGTTCTAGTTTAGAGCTATCAATAATGCAGGAAAATCCAAGGTCGGCCCCCAGCAATTTGACTGGGTGCAAGAAAGTGAGATCTATATAGAGAACATTTTACTAATTAATTCTTATCTGCCTCTCATTGACTGTAAATCAAAGGGCAGGAAAGAAGTTTGCGGGATCGAGGGGGACTTTTAATCACTTCGATAAAAATAGGAACTAAAATCGAATGGAAATGGACATGGACTCATTCTCCTATGGAATCCTACTAGTTTCAACATCCACAATATATAATTTTTCTTAAACACATTAACATGCACTTAATCTACAGTATGATGCTCAACCCAAAGCATTGACTTTGCTGACCAAAAACATTAAAAATGGTTAGTTTCCATGCCATTGTTTAATGAAAGCATGTATTACCATATGAACATTTACTTTTCCCAATATTTACAGAATAAAAATTAAATTAGAAAACAGACACTCAAGACTCAAGAAGCTAACCGGCCAAATATCAGCAGACAGATTAGTTCAATTAAAAAAATTTCTGAATGTAATCTTGCTTGCAATTATGAAATTAACAATAATATTTTATTAAAGATCCCATTAAAGGGTTAGACAAATACAATTTATCAAAGCAAGAAGTTGGAGCTCAACGCATTACATGGATCCGTCACAGACAATGCATTGCACAAGCAAAAATGTTGATTATGCATGCATGCATATATATATATCATTATTTTTTATATTTTCATAAGTACAGGTCAGAATAAGTATGTGGTTTCATTTTTACATAAACATTAGATATTTTACTTGCAATTAATATGCTTTCTGTGTATACAAAATAACTTTTGTAAATTATATTTAATGCGGTCACTAAAATGGGACATCTCGTATGTCAGTGCAATTAAAAAATGACTGTTCTGCACAATAAATGCATTGCACAAGCAAAAATGTTGATTATGCATGCATATATATATATATATATATATATCATTATTTTTTATATTTTCATAAGTACAGGTCAGAATAAGTATGTGGTTTCATTTTTACATAAACATTAGATATTTTACTTGCAATTAATATGCTCTGTGTATACAAAATAACTTTTGTAAATTATATTTAATGCGGTCACTAAAATGGGACATCTCGTATGTCAGTGCAATTAAAAAATGACTGTTCTGCACAATATTTTTGTGTGCCAAAGACAGCACAAAAGCTCTGTTTGTTTGTTTTGGAACAAAGCCTTTAATTCATATTCATCTTTTGTGTCTGCAAAAGATGGATCTTATTATGCCGCTGTCAGAACTCACTGTTCCATAAGCAAGTTGGAGAAGAGAAAAATAAAATAAGTGGCTGAAAATAAGTCCTAAACGTCTTCTTGATTTTATGCTACTTTTATTTCATACGCATTTCAAAACTGTAAATAAAAAGAAGAAAACATAAAAAGATCCCTCTTTAGCATCAAGTGTGGGCGTTGAGTTTGTCAATGCGTTTTTCATTGCCAAGTCTGAAAAAAACATTTCTTTAAATGCGAAAAATGTATTTAGACATTTCATCTACAGAGGAAAACTGAATCACATACATGCCTCATCCCAGTGTGCCTTTACTAAAATGTTTTAAATTTCATCTAAAAGTTCACCTAACAAAAAGAGCAAAATCGCTTCAAACTGTAAACAGTCATAAAGAGCACACATTTAACATACTTTACAAATGTCTGAGAAAGATACAGTTTTTTGTAGCTGCACACTTTTGGTTTTAATTTGACCTTTTGTTCAGCCAGCATTTATTCAACGGCATTTTAAAACACAATTATAATTAGGAAAACAAATTAATAAACATGCAAGGACTTAAAATGTTATGAATGACAGGCGTTCCAATTCTGTAGGAATCTGTGGAATTCAGTGCTGGTCTGTGTATCACCTATCATCTGAATACAATTCAAGTTTAAGCCATTGCTAAGAAGCAAATAAAGAGCCTCACACACTCAAACGGTTCAGAGCAGGTGTGCAGGACAAATGGCATGAGATGAAAGAATAAAGAAAGAAGAAAAGGTCCGCAGACCGCTCTAATATGCAAAGAATACTTATTTATTAACGGCCACATGTTGCAGTGTTAATATATTAGTACTGAAGTATTCTTTGTAAGCTACAGGACTGGGCAGGACCTCGTCATGCTTCATATGAACGCCATTAAAAAAATGATTCAAGCATGTGGAAAGAGCAGAAATCTGAAACTTCCCTACTGACTGCTTCACCTCAGAATAGAGATGCATGTTCATAATCGCTGACAGGAGGGCGAGCAGTAATGAAATTCACCTGCATTCACTAAAACTTGTCAAAAGTTGTATCTGGAATATTCCATGTGAGAACGCTGAATAAATATAACATCATTGAGCTGAAATATGTCAAGTCTATTTTCTCCTTACATTTGGACAGCACTATTGACTCTCATGACGAGTCCGAGTGATGAGAGGAAAACTGGAGCATTTGAAAAACACAACACAACACAAAAAAACTAAACAAAAAGCACAAAACAAAAACAAACTTCTGAAATATTACAACATTATTTTCAAGTCAATTTTGGGGGAACATCAGCACTTTTTAACTGAAATAATTACAATTCTTTGAAACATTACAACATTATTTGTAAACCAATTTTTGGAGGAACATTTGCAGTTTTTAGTTTAAATAAATACATACATACTTTACAAAATTACTTTTTAGCCAATTTTGTCCCCCCCCCCCCAAAAAAAATATTAATATCAATTAAAATAGTTTATTTGTTAATTAAGATTGTTTATTTAAAACATATTTTCATGTTTTTCCTATCGATTGCGGGGTGATATACGGACATCCATAAATCCACCAATTTGTGTTTATAAACTGTTTGTATTATCTGCAGTGACACACACAAAGATTTATCCCCTTTTATGGTATTAGGGCTTATGCTCATTTACTGAGCACTATGAGGAAGACAGCAGAAAATAAAAGCACATCATTTACCTTCTAATAAGACTGACAGGATCATCCAACAAAACCCCCCAGCGGCCCAGTTTCAGGGTTACAAGACTCTTCAACGTCAAATGAGAGTCTACTGTGTGAGCAGCTGACTGTATGTAATCCCTTACATGTTAACCCCAAAATGACACATTTGACCCAGTTCACCAGTCGCTGAAGACGTGGTCAACAGCCAGCGGCTAATCGAGTCTATATCCAGCTGTGTGAGAAAGAGCAAGCATCTAGAGCTGTGGACAAAACGTTACCTGCGGAACAATAAAACCTCCATTTCCAATTATAATTTCCCTCGTGTGCCACGTCAAAAACCTGTGGTATAACACACATCTCTTAGCAATTTAAATGCAGACAACACGGCGCTCATGCCATGATTATGTACGAATATTAGCTGGAGTCCAGAAACAGCTTTTCCACTCTGTCCCCAGGCAAGAGCCACACGTTTAGACTTCCCGGGAAGTAGGTGTTCGTTTACTGAAAGTGACCTGCTGAAGTTTTCAAAGTGCACCAGGAGAGCAAGTGGGATTATGATTCACATGCGCTCATCTGCAGCCATCCTGTGTGCATTCAAACGTGCTTGCCATGTGCCTGCAGGCACAGCCAAACGGCAAATATGAAATTTCTAGGTTCATTTCAGCAGACTTACTAAAATACTTCCATATCTGGATTGGTTTATGCATGAAGAGCATCCATGAGGAAATGTTACACATGCTGCATCTCGCTTTCAAGGTCAGAAGTTCAGAGTGCATGATCAGAATAAAACCAGATGCACAAAATAAAACTGACTGTTTCAGTTTCTTGCAAAAATGTACTATATGAAACATACAGTACTCATGTAAAGCGGCTGTACATGTACAGTAACCTATTTTCCACAAACTAATAAGCAGACACTTTCTATGAAATCTGTAACAGTAAATATTCATATCATATTAACATTCAAAAGTTTAAGATTCAATTTTTTGAAAAATTCATATTTTTATTCAGCAAGGATTCATTAAATTGATCAAAAGTGACAGTAAAGACATTTATAATGTTCTTTAAAAAAATTATATTTCAAATAAACGCTGTTTTTTATTCACCAAATAATTCTGAAAAATAAAATGTATCACCGTTTCCACAAAAATATGAAGCAGCACAACTGTTTTCAACATTGATAATAATCAGAAATGTTTCTTGAGCAGCAAATTAGCATATTAGAATGATTTCTGAAGGATCATGTGACACTGAAGACTGGAGTAATGATGCTGAAAATACAGCTTTGAAATGACATTTAAAAAAATATTTAAATAGAAGAACTTTTGAATGGTATAAAATAAAATAAAAATATATAAAAAAAATAAAATGCAAAATTCAAAAACATTAAAGAATCTTACAGACCCTAAACTTTTGAATATAATAAAATAAAATCTATTTTTAAATCTATTTTTATATAAAGCAAATTATACTTTAAATAAAAAAACAGGGCATGACTTGGTTTGATTTTTATCCTTTGAGAATTAACTGTATTGTAAAAAAAAAATGGATGTTACAAAGCAAAACACAGGCAAGAAATTGTAAGGAAAGGTTAAAAACAGGGCTGTGCGACATTTTCGGATGAAGCAGATGATACAGACATCTCTTCAGAGCGAGGTCTCTTTAAATGGCACGTGTTCGTTACTGTACGAGGGCCTGTCTAACAACGACAGCATGCTTCTGCTCATCCTCCATCCGGCGGTGTGCGCACAGGATCACGGCTCGCAGTCAAATAAGCCATCTCCATTCGAGCGGATGGCTGTCCTCCACAATCCTAATCCGCCAGGCGTTGGACAGCATCGCTCTCCGCCTCTCACAAAGCCAAATACAGCATCCAAACTGTCA